TCTCACCTGTTTTGGTCATGTTGTCAGAAGGGACCATTCCCTGGAGAAGGATGTCATGCTTGGTAGGGTGGAGGGTCGACAAAAGAGGGGGAGGCCTTCAACGAGATGGATTGATACGGTGCCTGGGATGATGAGCTCAAGTATAGCAGGGATTGTGGGGCTGGCGCGGGATTGGGCAGTGTTTCGTTCTGCTGTGCATGGGGTCGCTATGAGTCAGAAACAACTCGATGAGACTTTACAACAACAAAAGTATGGTTTAAACTTTAGAACTTTGAATTAGGTGATTCTGTGGATCCCTTTTACTCTAAAGTTCTGTAGGTAGGTCGTCGGGGAGGCATGTAACCTCTTCTAACTTTACAAGGCAGGAGGAGGATCAAGATCAACAAGCTAAGGCTGATTCCTCTGAGTCATTTGTATGAGGCAGAGGTCAGGCATTCCTCCACCCTCCAACCTTTCTACCAGTTCTGACACCAGCTGTCCATCCCATGGTATCCTCTACTTCTCTACTGGGTTCGGTAATTCATTGCAGTGGCCACACAGAACTCATAGACAATATTCACAATTACGGGGTTTATTAGGGACGTAACAGATTACAATTCAGGATCAGAAATGATCCAGGATACATTTCTTCAGTCAAGCTTCTTCTCAGCCAAGCCACAGGCAGGCCTCTCTCTGATCCTCAACCTGTCAGTCCCATAACCTTTTGGCCTCTGCCCTGCTTGAACAAATGTTACAGAGCTCTTTTAGGTCTGCTGATAAGTGCTCAGAAGCCTTGGCCCAAAAATGTTCAGCTCTAGCTCTGTGGGTCAGGAAACCCAGTTCCTTCAAGTGTCCGGAGGCACCCCACTCCACCAGTAAGCCTCCTGGCTGAAGGCACTCAGCTTTCTTGCTGTGTGGGCCAGGAAATCTACCACTCTGTCTTGTGCTGGTCTCTTTGTTCTGCTGCTGCTATTTCTCTGCTGCTGTTTCTTGCCATCTCTGGTGTCACAGCTCTCTGTCTCACCGATCAAGAAGGTTCAGTGCAGGGATCTCAGGGCTAAAGGATGCATTCCACTTCTGGCTCTTCTTTCTTGATGGTAATGAGATCCTTCTGCACCCCTGCCCGGCCCCCCACCCTTGCCTCTGGGGTGGTTCATTTTAAGCCTGGTGGGATAACAAAACTGACCAGTCCCCTTATTAGGGTTCCATACACCTGTTTCCATGGTCCCACCCCACAAGGGTGCCATGCCTCTATTTACATTATTAGCAGGCTATCCATCCCCCTTGGTGGGCCACAAGCACTTCATATTTGCATAGTCTTAACCTGTCATTTGGTAGGAGTTAGAGAGACTCTGGTTAGAAGGGCCATGTTAAGTAATTCACAGCACCACAGGTTCTAAGACTTCAACTGGTGGGGGAGGGGAGGCAGATAAGGAGAGAGCCATGGGTTTGAAATAGAAGAGGTCACTGCTGCTTTTTTTTCTAAGTGGTAATGCAAGTTATGAGCAGCAGTAATACTAATATGCACTCCACTTCTGGCTCTTCTTTCTTCATGGTAGTGAGATTTCAGTTTATAATACTGTTCATAAGAAAGCAGCCTGTCAATTAAGAATTCATAACAACATGAAGTAACTCTTGTTGATGTGTTTTGTTTTTTCTGTTTTTTTCCTTGGATTCCCTAAGAATGACTCAAATCTTATATACTGACAGTTATGTAGCAGATATGAAAATAGAAAGTGGCAGTTTGGCTGGGAAAAATTGGAATGAAGTACCCCAATCTCCATTTTTTATTATTTTTCATTTCACGTCACTTAATTCAGAGCTGTCTGATCACCAGTGAGTTAATTCTTGCTGTCTGTCTTGTCTCTGGGAGATCTGGCGGCATAGTACCTAAGGCATTTGACTGCTAACGAGAGGGCTGGCAGTTCAAACCCATCAGCCACTCCTTGGAAGGAGGGTTGGGCAATCTACTTCTGTAGTGATACCGCCTTGGAAACCCAAGGAGGGGTCGCTATGAGTCGGATCCGACTGGATGGCAATGTGTTGCATTTGCTGTTGTGTTGTCTTGTCTCTGTCCTGAGAATTCTACCCAGTGCCTGACTTGTTTCATTTAGCCGTGAGCTTTCTTGTCCAGCACTGTGCCTAGCAACAAGTATGCAACCCATACAAAATTGGCTCTACATGTCTGCTAAAACAGCGATTGATACATACAAGGTGTTACAGAAAATTAAACCCCAGAACTCAGTTTGGCCACAATCAGCTCTGGGGAACTTTAGAGTATACCATTCAAAGTTGGATGTCTAAAAGCTGAAGGCAGAACCAAAAATGGAAATAAACACTCGGCTCAGAGGGGGGCAGAGGCTGCTGCTTTGAGGGGATGTAGGTGATGGGTTTAAACCACTGGAGGTCCTTAGACATCAGTTTACATGAACACATTTCAGGCTATTTAAGTCCCTTCTTCAATATCAAGTAATAGAGTCCATGTCTGAACTGTATCGCTATGTTTTTCTCCTCTCTGGCTCCAAGTTGTACCATAACAGAATGCTTATTTACTGTTGTACTTTTGTCATGCATTGAGAGTTGACAGAGGGAATAACCATATGTAGAGTATCTCTGTGTCCACAGTTAAAGTATTATTAATGAAAGATGATTACAGTGTTCAGTTTCCATCATAAAAAGGCTCTTGTGACAAATATTACTTAAAATTGTGACAAACACTAAGGAAAAAAAAATCTCTCTTCTGAAGAGATATGCTTCCTTTTCTATAACTTAAAAGAAAAGAAGGAAACAACAACTAGAAGAAGCCTCTCAGTTGTGAAATTGTATGCAGGACAGTGCCCATGACCCTGGGACAAACTCTTCTTGCTAAAGGCTCTAGCTGACACATAGTAGGATGTGAAAGGCTTGTCAATTACAATGTTAACTTTCCCTTCAGCAGATAAGTTTGTTAGAGGTCAGGTGTTTTGCTTATATAAGAGCAGTTTTTGTTATAATAATTGGAATTTCTCCCTTCTATTCTTGTAGGCATGGACAGTAACTTTAAAATCCACAGATTTATTATACATAAGTAAAAAACAGTTCTAGAAAAAAATATCCTCAGACCTATTCTAAGATTATCTCAGGATGTTCCACAAACAGCATTCCAGGGAATGTAAAATCTGGGATAAATTATTTTATTTCACTCCCCTTCTCTCTTCTTTTTCTAAACCACTTCATATAGGTGAAATCATATTTAAATGATGATATGACACATGACCATAGGAGGCAGCCTTGAAGGGGAAAATTTGTACCTAGAGGCACCTGATAAGTTAGCTACTAACAAGAAGCAATCCTGCCACTTACCTTTGCAGTTTGCTTTGAGGTTAGTGGTGGTTAGCCATTAGCCATGGATCTTTTTATAAATAACCGAGGCTTCTCCGTCTCCCAGGCATGTCCTCTCATATCCTAGTCTGTTTTTCCAGGAGCAAGGCAAAAGGAAATTTCAGACTTTAGTATTGTGACTATTCAGCCTTTCAAAACTTCTTTCCCACCTCATTTCTATACTCCTCTAGGCCTCCTTTCTTACCCAAAGTTCATAACCCTAACAAGGAAGTATATGAAAGCAACTTTGGGATCCTAGACATTTTTTGAAAACAGCTTTACTGAAGTATGATTTAGATAATATCAGATTTACCCATTATAATTATACAAGTCAATGATTTTTAGTAAATTTATAGAACTGTGCAACCATCACCATAATCCAGGTTTAGAATGTTTTTATCACCCTGAAAGTTCCTTGTACTCATTTACAGCCAGCCCCCATTCCCACCCACAATCTCATTCTACCACTGATCTCCTTCCTGCTCCATATTATAATTTTATCTTTGCTAGAAATTGCATACAAATGGAATCATATACTATATAGTTTTTTGTGCCTTATTTCTTTCACTTAACCTAATGCTTTTGAGATTCATCCAGGTTGTAGTGTGTATCAATAATTCATTCCCATTTACTGCTGAATAATATTCCACTGTATATATATGCCACATTTTATTTATCCATTCTCCCCCAGTTTTCAGCTATTATGAATAGTACATCTGTGAACATTCATGTATTAAGCCTTTAGACATGTGTTTTCATTTATCTTGGGTAGATACCTGGTAGTGAAATTGCGGGTCACATGATAAATCTATGTGTAACGTTTTAAGAAAGTGACAAAATTCAGAAATAAACCCTTACATTATGGTCAAATGATTTCTGACAAGGATGCCAAGCTACTCAGTGGAAAAAGAATAGTCTTTTCAACAATAGGTACTGGATGCCTGGATATATATGTGCAGAAGAATATTACTGGACCTCTACCTAACATCATACAAAAATGAATCATATACCTACCTATATGTAAGAGCTAAAACTATAAAATTCTAAGAAGAAAACATAAATCTTTGTGGCCTTGGACAATAAAAAGACAAATGACCCAATTAAAAACGGATAAAGGATTTGAATAGACATTTCTTCAAAGAAGGGTCTGTCTATACTTACACCAGTATACCTTACTCTATACCTTTATAATACATTTTGAAGTCAGAAAGAGTCAGTCTCCCTACTTTGTTCTGTTTTTTAAGATTTATTTTTGGCTATTTGGTTGTTCCTTACAGTTCATTTGAATTTGAATTCGAAAATTTAAGTAAATATTTTTAATCCTAATAACCTTATACTTTGCTGTCTACTTCTATCTTATAAATTTTTAAAAGTTTGTTTCAAAGGCACTAGCTAGGTATGATTGTGTTATATTGTAGTTTGCTATAATACTCTGAAAACTCTACTCTAGTGGGGAAAAACAGTGGTACCTTCTAACTTTTGTTTCACATTTCTATTTTAAGAGTCCCCAACTGAATTCCTTGAAGAGAAAATGGCCTACCAGGACTATATGAACAGTCAAAATTGGCCGGAAGATACAAACTTTTGTTACCAGCCAGAGCAGGTGGTGAATCTTGTCCAGACTGGTAAGTGTAGTCTTGCCTGTGACACTGAATGTGAAGTATGACTTAAAACATGAAAAAGTCCTGATAGCCACTCAGATAAAACTTTTTAGCTTATGTAGTGTGTAAAGCACAACCAAGGTATAATTATTTCCCCTGAACATTTGGATGACCCTTTTCTCCATTTATTCCTTCATCTCAGGTGGTAATGCCCTCTACTTCTTTCTCATTCAAAACTTTCTTTGACTATGGCCCCTAGCTGCCCTTCAGGTCTGGAATTGAACCCACGCCTGTGGCTTCCAGACAAACAAGACAGGCATATGAGGTGAAAATTTACACTAGGTAGATAGTGAGAGAACAATCATGGGAGAATAGAAGGGCTGTGTATGCACAGGGAGACACCTCAGAGGGCAGGAGTGCATGGAGGGAAGGACACACAGGGAAGAGGTAACTATGGAGAGGAAGTGGGAGGGGAGCTGTTCCATTGTGGTAAATTGTAGTCAATGTCATGAGGCTAAGTGTATGTGAACTGCTGTATGGAAGAATTTGCTCTGTAACTTTCACCCGAATCACAATAAAATTAAAAAAAAAAAAACAACTTCCTTTGAATAAATGATCTGAAACTGTATACATTGAAGACCTTAAAATCTTAGTTCTTCCAGAAGGAATTATTACAGAAATAATAACACTATAGATTGTATACTTTGTGCCAGGCACAGTGTTAGAGCCTTTATATGCATGTTGTCTGTGCTTCTTTCGTATCTCTACCAAATATATGTTATCCTCATTTGACGGAAAAGGAAACTAAGACTTGTACACGAGGCTATTTGAATTTGTATATGCCAGAACTAGAATTTGAATTTAGATATCCTTTTTATTCCAAATCTTGATTTTTTTTTTCCCCTGCTACCTATAAAGAAATGAAATATACTGGAATTTCAGGAATTAATAACCAAGTAGGGATCCTGATGGACGTACAAGGAGAAAAAAGATCAACTATATCACATTAAGAAAGAGGCATAGTTTCTTTTTTTTTTTTTTTCTTGCACTTCTGGAAGTTCTCTGTCAATATACTGCTGCAACCTTTTTTTTTT